CCCTAGCCCTTTGCATTCTCCTCTCCATCATCTCCTTCACCATTCTGTTCACATCGGCGGCATTTGCATCCCCACTTGGATCTCGCATCAGTTTTTCCACTTTTCTATTTCCCAATAATTCCATCATTCGGTCGATGTCTGCGGGTTTGGCTCTTTTGCTTTCTTGTCCGGTTTGTTGAGCAACGCCTTTAAAAAGGTCAGAATGATTGACGCAAAAGTTTATAGTGGAATCGCGGAAACCTTCTCGTCATCCTTTGGAAATTTCACCTGACTCTTATCTAATGCAGTTTTATCGTCTTTTCCCTCCTCAGCATTCTCCTTCTTCTGCTCGTCCATCTCTACATCTTTCTTTTTTGTCCTTCTTCTTCTTCTTCTTTTCTTTTGGTTTCTTGCCTACAACGGTTGTCCTTTCCCTTGACTCTTATATATGCTTATTTTGCTCACCCTTTCCTGCCTCAAACGTTCCTGTTCATCCAATTGCGCGCTAAGCCGTTTATGCATTCTCTTCTTCTTCAGGATTAGAAATACTACTATGGTAAGTGCAATGAGTATTGCAAGGAGAATGGCACCTATAGCGCCCACGATGACAAAAAACTTTGAGCTCGAAGACGTTTGCGCCGTATCTCCATTGGGCCCTTAATGGTCTATTTTATCACTTTTTAACGAATGCTGTAGCCTTAAACACCTTCCAAAAGACTCGAATCAGATCCATTAGTATCGTATCTAAAACTGTCAGTGACAAAGGTTGTGAGCAATGACTTAGTTGTGGTCGATTGAATCGATGTAGCTATAGTCGTTTCATCTGACTTGTCTTCTTCATCATATTGATATTTGTCCAACCATCCTCTCTTAACTCTTTTGGCACCTAAGTTAACAGAGTTCGAAAGAGTAAACTGATAAATGATCAAAGTTGTTCAGTAACGTACGAAACCATGGCATTTTTGCGACCAGCCAATGGTGAAGTTGAGAACTAGAATTAACCCTACACTGCTCATTGAAACTCGCTGAGCAATGCAGCTTCCATTTGATATGGGTCTATCTCTACATCTTTCCTTTTTTGCAGGAATCTCAATCCTTAAGCATTGCTGCTGGTGAAGTCTCAAGTAATCGAATGCTTGTCCGCTGCAGTGTCTAACTCTCAGAATCCATCTTGGTGCAGCAAACTTTGAAAGTGCTCTCATTATACTTAGATTTAAGCATCCAATATTAGGAAAGTCTTTCAATCAAATGATAATTCTATCATTTAAACGTGTGACTTTGAAAAAAGTAATACTTGCAGTGTTTGTCCTTCACAAAGGCAATGTTAGGCAAATTATCGCTTTGAGTTTTT